CAACAAGATCAAGTGATTAATGTATGCATTCACTAGTAAATAGTATTCAGTTTATATTTTGTATATTATTCTCCGTAAATGACTAGTGAATGTATATTCATTAGAGATCACCCATTTACTGTAACATATATACAAGGTGTCCAAAAAGAGTATCAGCACTTTGATATATTCATTTTCAAGTGGCGATGACTTTGCGGGAGGAAGGAAACACTTTTTGTTTACAATTATTTTACCAGAACAATAATTATTCTATGGTGACGCCAAAATAAGAAATGGATCAATTGTTTGAATTTTTAGGGCCCATAATTAATAATCATCATCTTGCTTTAGAAGGCAAATATTTTTCTTGGCTCGTCAATAAAATTACAAAAAAATACATACTAAAAAATTAGAAAATAGTTTTAAATTTAAGAAAATTAAAGTTAATAAACAATTAAATCAAAATCAATTATAAATAATTCAAGGATCAAAGATAAAGTCTGGTATTCAAGCAATTTTCGGATAATTCTTTTTTAAATTTAGTCTTTTTATTTTTAGGCCAATTCCGAATATGTAGTGGTAGCGTATTAAACAGCTCATCACTTTTTGGGCACCTTGCACAATAAAAATCACAACATAAAAATATACACATCAACAATTTTTGGTAATTACCATTAAGTTAAAACAATCATTGTCGATCAGATTTTAAAATCTCTGTTTTCCTTTCCTATGACTTTTAATCTAATGTATTGAAGGATTTTTATAGAAGACTTAAAATCTGACATAAATACAGTGAATAAAATATTTCAGTGTCTTAGGTAGAGTATGGTTTTTCCTTTTCGTTGAGGAAAGAAAATGTCTAGTATTCGTCTTTTTATGCAATTAATCATAATATATATTTGATTATCAATAAATATTATAAAAAATAACGGTTTACTTAAAAAACAAATACATTTCAAAAGCATTTTTAAAATGGATCAATTTTAAATTGCTTTCAGAAAAATACAATGAACAATTATCTTTCCTCCTTTCTAATAATTTTATTATCAAAACTAATTCTCAAAAAACAGGATTACCCACTGAACAAATAAATTGATAAAAATAAGGTATCAGATCTGTCTTTTATATAAGATCATGAAGTGTTCCACGGAGATTTAAAAAAATAACTGTACTTTTTTGTTTAGAACTTACCACAAAGTTTAATTTGTTAATAAGAAACTTGCCGATATAAATAATTTAGTTTCAATATAAAATATCTATAAAACTATACATATACAGGGTGCCCTCTAAAATAATGCGTTAATTAAGGAGTTATGTAGAATCCACTATACAGGGTGTCCCAAATTGTTTTACCCATGCTATAACTTCTAAACCATGCAAGATAATCGAACCGGACAAAACTCATCCATTATAATTGGCAGTGTACTTTGAAACAAATAAAAATTTGATGACCCACCCTCAAAAACAACCCCCTGGAACAACCCCCTCAAAAAAAAAATTCTGCTCATTTTTGTGGTTATTACTTTTCTCTGTACAACTGTTTTTAAAATTTTGAAATTGCTCCATAAATGAGATTCGTTTTTTTTTTTTTTCATTTTCATCAGTTGCATGCTGTCAAATTCATGGTAAGTTTTCTAGCGCATTATAAACAATACTAGATCAATCTGTCTCTTGTCAAACAGAGGTCCAGCTTAAATAGTCTGTAAAATTAGCAGTTTTTACTTGATAAAGTTTGCAATAATTTAGAGTTTGTCAAGTCCTAAAAATTATTTTAAAATGCCTACTGTGTTTAGTTCTAACGAGTATATGATAATTATTTACGGCGAATGTCGCAAGAATTCAAGACAAGCTAGACAATTATACTATGAACGTTTTCCGAATAGAACAATTCCCTCAGTTAAAACATTTTCCAATTTAGAAAGAAGCCTTAGACAAGGACATTTTCCTGACGGTAAACATCATAGAGGACACAATAGAATGATCAGAAATGAAGAAAATATTATACACGATTTGGCTTACGTTCATGTAAATGTACATGTTTCTATCAGAGATTTGGCACTCGAAATTGGAATAAGCAAAAGTAGCATCCAAAGAATATTAAAAGACAATAAATATCATCTTTATAAAATACACTTGGTCCAAGGTTTACACCCTAATGATCTTGAAAGACGCTTAGACTTTCTCGCTAGAATGCAGGTGAAACTAAATGACGATGCCACATTCTTAGATAAAATATTATGGAGCGACGAATCACGTCTCCATAATAATGGTGTATTAAATCTACATAATTCCAATTACTGGTCCCCAACAAATCCCCACTGGGTAAGAGAAACAAGGTTTCAAAATATTTGGGGCATAAACTTATGGTGTGGTTTATTCAATGGTAGGATTATAGGTCCTCATTTTTATGAAAACACTCGAACGGGAATAGGATATCGTGATTTTTAAATCAATACCGTTCTTGATTTGTTGGAAGGTGTTCCTCTTAATCAAAGACGTGATATGAGGTGGCAGCAAGATGGTGCACCAGCTCATAATGCACAAATTGTGAGCCAATATTTGGCAAATACTTATGGAAACAGTGTTATAACCACGCATTCTCCAATTATCCAGTGGACGGCTAGGTCACCTGATTTGTCACCTCTAGATTTTTTTCTGGGGTACTATAAAGGACGTAGTATACGAAACAAAACCAGAGGACTTAGAATATAGAATCAGACATGCTTGTAACAGATTTACACCGGCCATGATTCGAGCTACCTGTACTAGAAATTTATTGTTAAGGTTTGACAAATGTGTGGAAGTGGGAGGTGGGCAATTTGAGCACTTATTATAAGTTATTACTACTCTTTGTTTGTTGATATTTATTTCTTGTCTCCTCCTTCTCTTGTTTCAATGTATTTTTTTAATTATGTGTCACCTAATAAAGCATTTTTATCATCAACTTGACATACAGTTTTATATAATTACTCACTTATTTATGGAGCGATTTCAAAATTATAAAAACAGTTGTACAGAGAAAAGTAGCGACTACAAAAATGAACAGAAAAAAAATTAGAGTGTCGTTAATAATTTTTGAGGGGGTTGTTCCAGGGAGTAGTTTTTGAGGGTGAGTCGTCAAATTTTTATTTTATTAAATAATGTTTGTTTTTTTTTTCAATTTCATTGTGTGTTCGCATTTTAAAAAGATATAATTTTACAGTCAATAATGACCTTAACACAACAAAACAGAAACACTTCGATTTCTTACAACAAATCAGTAAAACCGGGCCCATACGAAAAGAATGTCTACCAACGTGAACTCTCAGCAAAGGAACAGAAGAAGCCGATTGAATTTGATTGTGACGAAAATTTCGAAGTCCCCCCCCCCCCCCCCGCAATCGGCAATAAAAAGAGGCAGCATGACCATGACTCAAACTGAAAGCTCAATTTTAACAGGGGCCTATACGAGATCTTGGGAATCTTCCGGGAGCAGTTTGGTAGTATCCGGAATACTCTTAAACCTCTACGCTTTCAAAAAGAACCAGAAAGAAGAAGTTGAACGAGAGCGTCGAGGCTCATAGTACCGCGAGAAGTACCAGTAACAGAAACGTTTACGATTTCTTATAATAAATTTGGTTTTTCGAATTATTCAAGGAATAAAGTTAGAGCTAGAGGAGGGGTGCTGAATCGAAATTGTCAAAGAGAAAGTTGACGAAAATCTGAGGATTGTTTTAATATTTAAATCAATTTTTTTTAATTTTGTTTCTAATTTTACATTTTAACGACAGAAATTAAAAAATAAAAAAATATATAATTTATTTTGATTAAAAAAATATAAAAAATAATGTATTGTTCTTGGTTTTATTTAAAAATTGTGTTTTGTACAATAAAAAATTTTCGAATAAAAAAAACAAGAAAAAAAAAAGATAAAATACGACAGTTGACAATTCATCAATGACATGGCATGTGCTGCATAGAACTCACTTGTAGACTGTTGATTTTTGATAGTACAGTGACGTATCTGCATTATCAGTTGCATAAATGCAGTAAATTTTGATTTTACTCATTACTTAATGTGCATTACTTTCAAGGACACCCATTATATTCCCCCCACTTTTAGCGGACTTTTATTTCCAAAAGGAGCTCAGAGTTTTTTTAGTTAATTTGTATAAAAATAAATTTTCATAAAAAAATCCTATTTCAAAATATTAAGGGCCAGTTTTTCACACCTCTGAATAAAGTTGAAAGTAATTATTTGCCGATTATACTATAGGCTATAAATCGCTAATCTGCCAAGTAACCTTACGTGTAACTTTACTCATTGACATGGGCGTCGTTACGAGAATTTGTAGGCAAAATTGTAAAAAAAATTGGACCACGTTCAAATTTTTTAATAAGTACAAAAATACAATACACGAGAAAAGGGACATAAAACATAGGCACTTCTAAAACTTTTCTTGAAAGAATATATTAAAGGTAAAACAAATAATAGTCTTGTTAAGGATAATATTAAATACTAAAATAAAACAAAACTGTACGCTTGTATTCTCTCTAGACAAAAAACAAACAAACATAAATAGGAACTCTTAGTGCACTCGGTATGGAATACATTTAAAAATTTAAATATAAACCAAACATCAACAAGGAAATGCTCTTTAAGAAAATAATAAAGGATATGGCAGCATGATTTTTGGATCAGAAGTAGCAACTTTTAAATGGGTGTGTTCGAAAAACTGATCTGAATATAATGCATTTGATAAAAGTTATTAAATACTGACATTTTGTTTTAATCAATTAACAAATTCCTTATCCTAATTTATATGCATATTTGTCTTTGTTAAAAGTCTCTAGATTAGACCAAAAAACTACCAAAAATAACAATTTTTAGACTTATTTCACTGCAGCCTAGGGATGTTACAAAAATATATTTAATAAGTAATTATGGCAACCTTTGTGGGATGCACTTATTAAAACTTAAAAATTAATTATCTCGGCATAACGTTCGTTTGGTTATAATATAGTAAAAGAGAGTCTCATGAACAATATTATTCCGAAAAATATAGGTATAGGGTAGCTTTTTCGGTATAATCTAGGCATTTTTAAAAGACACATCTTGTTCCATTCAAAAATTGTTAATTAATTAAAATAAAATTACCATTAACCATTTAATGTCAGTAATTAATTACAAATAAGTATGTTTGTAAAAATAAAATTCAATGCATTAAATTCCCAGGTCAATTTTTCGAGCACACCAACTATTCTATTTAAAAGACATTTATCTTTGTCTCATGAATGACATCAAAAAATTACGAAAATCGATCGATTTCCAGGATCAAAAAATTCATTTTATTCAGGTCAGTATAGCTACAAAGAAATGTTTCATTTAAAAGTTGCTTCTTCTGATCCCAAAATCAACATATTAAAAAAATAATAAAATCGTTCGAGACCCAGGATTGAGTGCCATGTCCTAAAAAAAAAGTAGAAAAAAATGAATTCTTTTAGCGCTAAGAAAATAAACTTTGTTTAATAAAATGTATTGAGTCAACTTCCCAAACGACGCCCATGCTCACTGGCCCTAAAAAACTTAATAATTATATTAAATGTTTAGATTTAAATTAAAAACACTTCATATTTTCGCTATGTGACAAAAAAATCTGTTCCACCTTTTATATTCAATATTATGAGAAAAGTATAGCAAGCAGTAACGATTTTTTTGGTATAACAAATACATAACAAATTATATTTTTAACATAGTACGTAAAATAAATAGTAATTATAAATTAATAAATAATTTAAATACGTTGAATTTCAAATAACCTAACATCTGTATCATACCATATAGGAGGATCGACGTTCCTGAAAAAAAATAAATTAATTAATTAAATGCAGTTTCGAAAAACGTGGTGTCTACGAAAACTTTCCACTCACGTTTTTTCGTATTGATGCAAAAAACAAAACAATGCTTGGACTCGTCGATTTTAGTTTGTAGGGCGCTTGTTATCTAATTGCAGCATTGACACTTCAACCCACATGCAGTGGGGTGAACAACTCCTACAATTTAAATAGTGAAAGTACCACATCTCTGAAAAGGTAATTTGATGAATTATTTAACACTAGAATACATCAACCAATGACGATCCTCTTTTTTTCTCTCACACCAATCAAAACAAACAGTATCTGAAAACACTGCATGGTGGTGTTTTATCTCAATCTCAATTGGATTTATAGTCTAGAAAAGAAAGGAGTACAGTATTTTAATTTGCAGAACGTAGCATAGATTCAAGAGGTAAACATTTAATTTATACCCTCATCCTTCAATGCTTATTTGTAGTTTTAATAGACCTGATCAGCCTAATAAAAGTTTTCTTTTAGATTTAATCATGCTTCTATGGTTTTGACTGTAATAGTAATAAACCTTTTCTTTTGACAGATAAGTCAGACTTTATTTATTCATAGCGGTATCGCATGTATTTTAATTGATTCGGAATTTTGTATTAATATATATTATAATTTTACAATTATATAAGAATCGCGAGTGCATTCGAAATATTGCAAGCACAAGTACGCGTAAACGACTTAGTAAAGCATTATCTTTAGAAGAAAAAATATCGTACTTAATGTATTTAATAATCTTCGAAAAGACTTTGTTTTAATTTCTGTGGATGAAATAGCCAAAAATGTGAGACCTATACTGGAATATCTAAGCGGACAGTGTAAAGATACAGTTATTGAAGAAGTCTCACATCCGAAAAAGCCCCCAGGAAAAAAACAAGACCTTTATTGAAACTTAGGTAAAGAATGTAATAAGACAAATGGTATTTTTTTCTTTCGAAATGAAAATTCTACACTTAAAAAATTACACTCAGATATAGAAAATAGTCCCACTGTTCCAAATATATCATATTTTCAACTGCAAAAAATATTACATGAATTAAATGTTCGTTAAAAAAAAAACGTGACAGACACAGCTTTTTAACAGAGAAAGGCGAAATCATTGCGTGGATAACATGGGTTAATGCCGGACATACAGTAACAAAAATTTGGCAAGATACCTCTATCAAAACTAAAAAACAAGCGTTTATGGAAGGGCTATCTTTTGATTAAAAAATCGAACAGAAAAAGGAAATCTTTTAATAATAACCCATATTGGAAGCACCGATGGATTTTTGCCGGATGGTTTATTAATGTTCGAGTCAAAGAAAACAAAAGACTACCATGAAGAATTGGATGACTCTATTTTTGGAAATCGGTTTCGGAACATTATAAAAAAAAATCCATCCAACTCCGTTATTGTTTTGGATAATGCATCCTATCACAGTCTATTAAATAATTCACTACCTATAACAAGATGGAAAAAAGAAGATATTTCAAAATGACTTCATTCTAAAAATATGATCAATCCTTTTAAAATTTTAGAGGCAGAAATCATTTGTTGAAAATTATATTTTACGATATGGGATTGCAAATGAAATAGTAACGGACAAAGGCACCGAATTTTTGTCATCCATTTTAGAAGAAACATGTAAACTTTTAAATATCAAACATTTAAACTCAATCGCTTATCATCACGAAACTTTAGGATCCTTAGAGAATTCACATAAAAATTTAGGAGCCTATTTACGCATGCAGGTATCGAAACAACCAAATTCGTGGAGTTCATGGGTTCCCTATTGGAGTTTTTCTTACAATAATACCGTACATACAGAAACCAAATATACACCACATGAACTTGTATTTGGAAAAACTGCTAACTTGCCATCTAATTTAACTGATCAAATTGATCCTATTTATAACTTTAATGATTACCCTGTAGAATTAAAATACAGAATTCAAACAGCTTATAATGAAGCAAGAAATAATTTAATGTTATCAAAAGACAAAAGAAAGAAAACTTATGACAAGAAAAGTAAAATTGTAAATTATAGAATAGGTGATAAGGTCTTATTAAAAAACGATGCTGGGAATAAGTTAGAACCATTATTTAAGGGTCCATATATTATTGTTGAACAAAAGTCCCCAAATGTAGTTATTAATGTGAATAATAAATGTATAGAAGTTCATAAAAATAGAATTAAATTATATCATTTTACATATTTTATAGTTGAATAGTTATAAGTATATTTCATAATTTCCTGTATTAGTGCATCGACAATTAAATAATTCAACTCTAGTGTTAGCAATAACCCGGTTGTTACATGATGTACGTTCGTCGCTGACATATCAAAAAGGATAGATTAAATGTAGAAACGAGAATGGATTGATGTATTGAGTTGGCATGCATAAAGTATGCGAATAAATTGGGATTTTATATAAAATGAGTTTTAATTAATTTTCTTCGATAAACAAGGAGTTAGTTTATCACATCATAATAGCAAGGCAACATAAAAACAAATTCAAAAATATATTATAGAAGAGATGGCCCGAGAAAATAATAATATTAATAATAATAATTTATTCATTAAAATAGTACCTATAAAACACATTTGATACAGAAAAAAAAAAAAGAGAAATGAATAAATTGGCTCACGTTAAGTGACTTAACACTTGTTACGCAATTTTGAGTAGATATACTGTAATACATAACATACATAATATACATATAATAATACTAATAATACTAATAATACTAATAATACTAATAATACTAATAATACTAATAATACTAATAATACTAATAATACTAATAATACTAATAATACTAATAATACTAATAATACTAATAATACTAATAATACTAATAATACTAATAATACTAATAATACTAATAATACTAATAATACTAATAATACTAATAATACTAATAATACTAATAATACTAATAATACTAATAATACTAATAATACTAATAATACTAATAATACTAATAATACTAATAATACTAATAATACTAATAATACTAATAATACTAATAATAAATACTAAAAAAAAAAAAAAAAAAAAAAAAAAAATAATAAGGAAAGAGAAATGAATCATACCATCGAATTGTCTGATATAAATATTACTTGATAAATTATAATACGAAAACATCAATCCTTCATAAATAGTGAGTACTTTTTAGGTTTTATTTTCAATTAGATCTGAAATATATTTTCTTGGGGTATTGAAAGTAAATATTTTTAAATATTTCTTGAACAAATGGAAAGTACCCTTGGATTGCACTTCCTCTGGTAAGTTATTATACATCTTAGGCCCTAGATATGAAAAAGACCTTTGAGTTAAAGATCTTTCCACCAAGTGTACAACATGGTTTAATCTATTTCGGGTTAGGTAAGTATGAGATGGTATTGTAGCTGTGAGTCTAGTAGGGTAATACTTTAGATTGGTGGAAACAAAGTACATTTGTCTTATATCTAATATTTTGCTTTCTTCGTAAAGTATATCTGATGAGTATCTAAAATTTTTATTCATTATTAATTTCAAAAATCTGCGTTGTATTATTTCTATGTTATTAATGTGACTATGCAGAGCACTACCCCATGCTACAATACCATAACGTATATGACTTTCTACAAGAGAATAGTATAAAGTTCGAAGTTGTTCTAGGGGCAAATGTTTTTTTAAAAATTTAAATTTATAGAGAATAATTTGTAGCTTTTTAACTGTATAATTTATGTGACAATCCCATTTTAAATGTCTATCAATATACACGCCAAGATACTTATATTCTTTTTCGGGTAAAATATTAAATGGAATTGAAATTCTCAGAATGCCTCCTTACCACACATAGTTAAATCCCATTGAACTGATCTGGTCACAATTAAAGGTTATATTTCTCGAAAAACAATACAACATTTAAATTACCTGATGTGTGAAATTTGTTTTTGAAGGCAGTTTCGGATGTAAATGGAGAACATTGGAGAAAATGCATTGATCATGTTAAAAAGGTGGAAAATTTATTTTGGAAAGTGGATATAGCAATGGAAAACTTAATAGATCCTATATTAATAAACCTCAGAAAAGACAATGATAATGATACCAGTAGTTATAGTTAAGACTGTGACTTTTAAAGATAGATCTTGAACTTTTAATTTTTTTAATCTTTGATTTTAGGTACTGAAGTGTTGCTTTTAATTCCAAGAGATTTAAACAAGTATTAGAAATTAAAAATTTAAAAAAACCGACTTCAAAAACGTGCAGATGCCATCACCATATCTTAACCAAATTTATATGGGACCACCCCTGAGGTACCCGCTTACTAACAAAAAAAGAGTCATATAAATCGGACAAGGTGGTAAAGCATTATCGCTAAACATACATAAGAAATGAAGAGTTTGAGGATTTTCTCATGGACCCAATTATTAGATTTTGACCAAATTTATATGGGACCACCCCTGAGGTACCCCCTTACTAACAAAAAAGAATCATTGAAATCGGACACCGTGTTAAATAATTATCGCTGCCATACATAAAAAAAAATATTGCGACGAATTGAGAACCTCCTCTTTTTTTGAAGTGAATTTTATTATTAATTCAATGCACCACATTATATTAATCTAAATATTTCTATATTTCACAATAAAATTAGCTTTCAAATGAAGTGTTGCATTTTACAATACGTAAGTTTTTTATCAAGCTAAACGGCGCTAAAATCAAAAGTAACACAATCTTATTGCCAACTTCTTCATCAAATCACATTTTCAATGATCTGTAATCATTGATACTTTCCCTATTTAAATTGTAGGGGTTGTTCACTCCACTGCTCGAGGTCTGAAGTGCCGATGCTGCAATTAGAAATAAAAGTGGCCATCTAATTTAAAATCGACCTGTACGAGCGTTTTTTGTATCAATACCAAAAAATCTAAGTGGAAATTTTTCGGCAGGTCGCGCTATATATGAAAAAACATTTAAAATTTCTATATTTTTAATTTTATATTGTAAAGTAAGCCGTTCAAGCATTCAATTCTTTTTTTTTTTAAGTTTGAGTTTGTATTTAATTCGGAGTAGTGCGTAGTTACCACGGTGATGACTCATGTCTTTGTCGATCATGGCCTACTTTATAAACACTTTTTTGGATCACTTTTTATAACGGTATCTTAAGACAAATGATTTCTTCTTCTTTCACCATTTTAACTGTGAACACCATGATTTGGCAACATACAACCCACCAACGTATTATAGTTGAATCAAGAATAGGTAGTAATTTAATGTCAGGAATGTGTGAAGTATGCTAACAAAGTTGTCATATAGTAGGAGAGTCCAATACAAATGTCGGCCGTCATCTGATAACGAAATGAAATATGCCCCAAAAGCATGAAACAACATTGTACTTTACCAAATGGCATCTCTTTCAATCACTATCCTGACATGACAGTGATAATTCATTGTGAACCTAGCTTTTAAACCTGAAGTATTATTTTCATTTATTACATTTTTTAAACATATGCATTATATTAGTTTTTACCTTTTTAATTTGTCACAAAATGAAATTTATTTATTATGCTCTAAAATTTAATAAAAAGTAATATTTTACTGGACTTACCTGTTCTGCATTAAAAGAGCATAGAGCAGATCTGATAGAGAGGAAGTATATGAATAAAAAGAAAGACATTGAATAAAAGAGCAAAACGAGGTACTTTTTTCGAGCGTAGCAAAAGGCAAAGGGATATCTCGGAATGAGGATTTGCAAGTAAAAAGTCCAATAAATCCCATTTAAAATACAAAAAAAAAAAAAACAGTAGGTTGGGTTTTTTGTAATAAATAGGGAGGTTTTCCAAACCTGCATCTCTGTAACAAAAGTATCTTTCTCATCATAATCCTAAGATAATCTGACATCTAGAGCAGAATAGAAACATTTTAGCACAATAACTGAAAAATGCAAAAAGCAAAACACCAAGTGGACTCGCACAAAAAGAAACAGTCAAAAAATATCTGGGTGCCCAGAAGGATTGACTGACGTCTTTAACACATAAATGCTAACAATTAGGCGTAACTAACGGAAACATGTACTGGCTGACTGGACACAATTCTCACCTGTCATGTAAGTAACTGATCAATAAAGCAATATTAAAACCATTTTGTGATATAATGATGGTGATTTGCTAATGATTCTAACATCACAAAGTTACAATCTTCCAATCAAAAAAACTGCAAAAAACAAAATCAAAAAACAAAAATAACTCATTTAATATCAAAAATTAGTAAGACAAGAATTACCATGGTTGTAATTTTTATATTTTATATCATTAATATCAATGTCGATAGTATGCAATTAATCGGGAAAAATATATTTACCAAGCTTTTAGTGTCTTTTTCATACCATACATTCCCCATATTACATTAAACAACTTTATTACATATCTGTTACTTACCTTAAGTATATGACGCCCCACATGTATGTTCTAAACCACGTAGTTGTACCCGAATTTGCTTGATATTTTCTAATAAGAATTGGATGAGGAACTGGTAACAAACCTACCAAAGTCCCGTGCTGTAAAAACTTCAAAATTTCACTCTCATCAGTCACTCCTCTGTAAATAATAAAGAATTTATTAGGTTTTGTTCATTCGTTAATACCTCGGGGATATTTTAATAAGACTATATATTTTTGGTTTACCTGTCTATGCATATTTTTTCAACTTGCGGCACAAGTACTTGCAACAGTCGCATAATGGTTTGTAAGGGTAATTTACTTTTCCAACTATGCACCCATTCACTTGTTGGTACCCATTGTCCAATTGTACCTTCACTAGGTGCAGTCACTCTAAGACTATTCCTCTGTAACAAAAAAAGCTCCTTTGTGAAATAGGCTACTAATAATTAATAGCTAATTATTATTATTAAAAAGGTGTTTACCGATTTAACAGATCTTGTAAAATTTGATTGTGGTGATGTAGGACTAGCAGATTCTTTAGTTTCACTTACTTCTGCTGCATCAGTTTTCTGAAAATGGTAATATATTTTGTGAAAAAAAAAAAAAAACACAGAACATCGTAAAAAATGAAAAAATGCGTGTTTTTCTTACAATTATATTAAAAATGACTACCTTCAAAAAGTATTTATTTCAAAAGATTTTAAAAGAAATAAAAAAAGAACAATTTCCGCGCCATTCTGTATTACATATTTAAAAATTTGCTGCTTTTTGTTTAAACAAATATCTAGTAGTTTTTAAATGTTATGCTTTCCCACCTTTTTTTCTTAAACGTCTCTGTAGAGTGCTGCTTTAACGTTGCACAAATATATTGATTTATTTAAATTGATTTTTTTCATTTCATAAACATGCTTTTATTCAATTTTCCAGATATATGCAAAGAGTCATCGTAAAAAAATACTTATTCAAAGTTTGGAAACGAACACCTGCATATATAAAGGAAAGAGCTCCATAAGACCCACAGTAATAACACAAGATGTGCGAATTCACATGAAGAGTATCAATTAATCGGACAAAACATTAGCATGCCAAATAAGTAGGAGCAGTGTTTGGGTGTCTGACTCTCCTACAAGGAAAATTTCTAAAAACCATTGTTATATCTTCTATAAGCCATATAAAGTTATAACAGATGAAATAAAAGAGCTGGAAGTGGCAGGTACGATTCATATCTACACCGACGGTTCTAAAACAAAACAAGGTTCAGCATCCTTAACTCTAAACATAAAATGGGCTGTGAGCAGTAATGCCAATGTAGTTCAAACCGAGCTCACGGGGATTCTGATAACAGCAAAAGAAATTACCAGAAATAATATCACTGGAAGAAACATGCCCATCTACACATATAGCAGACAAGCACTACTCATCCTGGACAGGCCACGACTTTACTCAGAGTTTTGGCCGAAGTATCCATCAAAAAAGTCGAAGGCCACGCCACATCGAAAGGTAACCGTCTTGCTGATTCACTAGCCAAGAAGGCAGCCAACCAAATACTTTTTGGATCTGGCCCTTCTATTTGACTGATAAAATCGGTAGTGACAGACTTAATTAAAGAACATTCCCTTGTGAAATTCAAGGCAATATGGGATGAAACAAGAAACTGCAGAGTTGTCAGGAAGCTTTTAAGTTATCCTGACAATGCTACAGCAAACAAATACTTCACTATAACTAGACAGAATCTGCACCTGACCACAGGGATTCTAACTGGTCATTGCCAAATACAGAAGCATCTTCATATCATGGGGCTGTCATAATCCGCACTTTGAGACCATGGAGCATATCCTCTACGATTGCCAGACTCTCATTTATTAGAAAACTTGCGTTTGGCGAGTATCGACTAACATCGGCCGATATAAGAGAAGCATCTCTTGGCTACATTGTCAACTACATTAAATCTCTAGGCTGGCTCACAAGGTAGGAGGTGCTTATCATCTTAGGAGGATGCACAATGGAACCAGTGAGGCCTAAGTACCGTGCGGTAACCCATCATGTACACCTTACAGATACAGATTGATAGCAACTAACTATTCCTAGAAAGTTTCGGTACAGCAACAATTATTTTCAATGAGCAACCTACTGGATTGAACTTTTTTAGCTGATGAAGCATGGTTTTACTTATCAGGATATGTCTACAGCCAAAATTATTGAACATAGGCAACTGTGAATCCTCATTAATAAGTTTCACAAAACACAAAAGGTTATGTATCAAATTCCAAAGTAAAATAGTGAAAACATTAAAAATTTAAAAATATTTTTAGATTCGCCTAAATTGAATCAAAATATTGAATTCTAACATAAAAATACAATAATGTAAAACACCTTTAATTAATAATATATTTTTTTGTTGTTATTCTCACAGTTAACTGTATTTGTTCTCATGGATACATAAACAAAACATCGAAGGACAAATAACAAACAATTTAAACATGTTTAAAAACAGGCGAAACACTATTTAATTTTTTTCGAATACACCTACCCATGATGTGAAACGAAAAGATAGGCCTTCGCCTTTTAAAATGTTTAAATTGTTTATTATTGTACTTCGATGTTTTTTTATCATAAATTATTTGATTGCACCAGAAATTGGGAAAATTTGCTTCCCAAAACATATGTAATTTTTGTAAATAAAAACATGTTTGTGACTGGTAAAACCAAAGAACTTTCATTTATATAAAATTGTAAATTTCTACTAAAGCCAAGAAATTATCTTCATAAATAAAAAAAGAACTGTATTTCATATTAAAAAATCTAAGGCACTGGCTCACATCTAGGGATATTTACTTTTGTTTTCACCAAATTATTAAATGTACGGGTATTGTTGGAGACCCTGTATATTACCATTAGAAAACTATACTAACCTCACTATTACTATTTTCTACACTATCTCCAGTCTTAGATTGCGTATTTACAACTAATGCGGACATTCCATTCGTTAGTGGCAACGATTCTGGTTGCTGCTGTGACAAAGGATGAGCAGATTCCTTCTCAGTCATCTGTGCTATCTGCGGCGTATCCGGAAGCGTAGCTTTCAAAGTGCCTGGTTCGGCTGGAAGTGCAGGATGAGATCCTTCCATTGCTTGCTCGTTTATATTTTCATGACTAGTAGAAGTGGACAGTCTTTTTTTGGATCGTTTATTGACCGATTTGGAAATAGTACAATAATCGGCCGGCAAATTAACTAAACTATGGAATACTTGACGTTTTCTGATAATCGTGTACACGAGGCTTGAATTTCCATCGAATTGGTATTGGATGATATTGTTGAATATTTCAAGAAGGAAAAATACTAAATGGTGATTTGATGATGCGGAAAAAAGAAACCACGGCGTGCTGAAGGCTTCCAATAAATGTAATAACTTTGTACTTGCTACCATTGATAATGTTTTTAGATATGGTGAAACTGTAACAATAACAACAATAACTATTAGGATCTGAAATTAAGATCGCAACGCCGCACCGTCTGCCCTTGACATTGGAACTACTTATATACATATATTTTTTTATGTTTCCATTTGTTTATAGATGCTTACATATACAAGGTGTTCCGTAATGATGGTCCAATATTTTAACAGGGTTTTTTTTTAATAAAATTTTGCTCCCCGCTGAGGGGATCCAACCACTGGCTCCCCTCAATCAGGCTTGGGGTCCAGCTTGCTTTTTCCTCCTACAAACCAGTCATTACCTATGTTTTTAATGATGCTATGAAACATTCTATGCTACAAGAGCATTTAAATAAAATACATGGACAGGAAAAGCAATATTTAAAACAGCCAACTGTATTAAACCTCTTTGCGTCGTCTTCTAAAACAAGATGACGATGGACGACTACGAGCCTCATATAACATTTTATTGTTAATCGCAAAAGATGGAAAACCACACATAATTGGTGAGGAATTAACTTTGCTGGCAGTCAAAGAGGTAATAAAAACTGTTCTTTATAAAACACCGCCAGACATCATCAAAATTCCCCTCACTAATAATTCAGTGCAAAGAAGAATAGATGAAATGGCAAGATGTTGAAATATTATTATGTGAACATTTGAAGACGTGCAAATTTTCCATTTAATTTTATGAATCAACTCTATCAAATATAGAAGCTCTACTCTTATCATACATGGCAAAACTGTAGGCCTGGCGATTTCACATATTCAATGATATAGATTGATCATCCATGTTTTTAAAAATAAACATAAGCATATGCCTCGAAGTAGTAAATCAAAATCAATTAATTAATTAATTAATAGACGATTTACGTGTTCAGATACAAAATATCCAAACCACAATTAACAATAGCTCCTCACCTCGTGTATCTGATGAATTAATGCTTACTGAACTGGAAGAATGACGGAGAAAATCCAACAATCTGATAGTGTTTAACCTACCTGAAAGTAATGATGACAAGTCCAAGGTAATCGAAATTTTGCAGGATTTAATTAACTCACCTCCATCAATTATAGGACTACATCGATTAGGAAAACATAATTATAAAGGGGTAAGGGCTCTTAAAATAACTTTTAATTCTACTTAAGATGTGCATGTTATTAAAAATCGGTATAAACTTAAAGGAAAACATATCTTTCTCAATTTTGATCTGACACGTAAACAAATGGAATCAGAAAAACTTGTCAAAGAAGAACTATACAAACGACGTGAAAAAGGAGAAAATAATCTTATTATCAAATTTATAAATGGATGTCCAAAAATAATTAGTTTGAATCCAAAAAACTAACCAATCAGAGCCCACCTTCTATTAAGTTCTCTCATAGCTCAATTTACTACCCAAACGTTAGAGGATTAAGAACAAAGCTAAGTTAACTTATTTCTGATGTAACAACTATATCCCATGAAAGCATTGTTTTCATCGAAACTTGGCTGACAGAAAACTTTAGTGATGCCGAACTTGGATTTGAAAATTTCAACATTTACCGCAAGGACAGATCTGCACAAACCAGCTCATCCTCCAGAGGAGGTGGAGTTCTTATAGCAGTTTCCAAATATATACGAAGTAGTTTGCTCAACTCTTCACAAGAAATTGAACAGTTATTTGTCCTCATAGGCAATGTTAAAAGTACTCTTATTTTAGGAGCTGTTCCTTTCCTCAAATGTCACCAAATGATAAATATGTTTTGTTCACTGAAAACTTGGATAATTTGTTAGAAACGTATCATCATGCACAATTTTGCATTTTGGGCGACTTCAATTTACCTAAGGCCATATGGATTTCAAATAATCTATGGTCAACTACCTCTTTCTTGGGACCTGGAACTAGAGCTGATGAAACTGCTACGATTAATACTATCTCCAATATGTGTGCTTTTCACAACTTTTTTCAGAACAATGCAGTTCGGAATGATTACAATACTACTTTAGATTTAGTTTTTTCTTATCAATCTTCAACAACCACCTCTCTCGCTAGTAATGCTCTAATTAATGTCGATAAATATCATCTCCCGTTACTTATACACTTGAACCTTGCTGTAAATTATTGTAACTCGTCACATGTAGCTAATGAGTATTACTATGATTACAAATTCGCAGATTTTCGATCCATTGAACACCATCTGGGATTAATTCAGTGAGATTCACTATTCTTAAATAAATCACTTGATGAAATGGTAAATATTTTTTACGATTTTGTGTATTCTGTCATTCATTCCTTTGTACCATTGAAAAAATTATACACTCGATGATTTCCCAGATGGTTTTCACCTGAATTGAAAAATATCATAATTCTAAAGAAGGAGGCACACCCTAGATTTAAATTTAGTGGATCTTCTAACGACTACATGGTATTCTCTATGTAAACTTAAGTCTAAACAGGATTACAATGATTAGACTTACTGAATCATCTGTTGGTAATGATATTAACACATTTTGGAATTTTGTTAATTCAAAAAGAAAAAGTAATGAGTTACCCAACGAAATGTACTATAACAACACTAGATGCTCTATGGGTACAGGTTTAGCTAATATGTTTCAGGAATACTTTAGCTCAGTCTATAGCAATCAACCATGCCATAATTATGATAAACCTATTCAATCCATTTATAAATGTTGCAAATTATCAAATATCTATTTCAGAAATATTTGAACATCTGAGCTGTTTAGATATGAGTAAGGGATCAGGTCCTGATGGCTTGCCACTTTCCTTATTGAAAACTTGTTGTTTTGTTATATCCCGTCCACTGCATATTATCTTTAATGTTTCGCTTCATAATGGAATATTTCCTAATTACTGGAAATCAAGTTTTACGGTACCGATTTGCAAATCAAGTGACTAATCAAATGTAACTAATTACAGGCTAATTTCAAAGAGTGATTCCAAAACTCTTTGATAGTATTATTACAAAGTATTTATCGAAACTGGAATATCATTTTTTTCCATTTTTTATAACTATTTAATACCTAAGTTTTATAATTTTCTACATTTGGAACCTTCAGTTCAACTTTAACTATATTTTGTTTTTTTTTTAAGAACCCTCAGTTCTGTATTTGTCATTGTTGTGGACAATAAAATCTAAATTGAATTTATCTGTTTTAATTTACCTGATATTCATTTGAATTTGAACTTATCGTATCTTATCTTGACAGTTGTCATAATATAGTTTTGTTTCCTATTTTGTTTTTCTCTGAAAAAGTATATTTTTTTAATATAGTCAAAACAGGTGGCGCCTTGTTCAAATTCAGATAATCATAAAAGTTCCAAAATAAACAACTGAGAATTCACAACCCTGAGTATAATAAATTTTACCATTTTCCTGTATGGAAAATTGTAAAATCTTAAATTGAGCTTAAATCACTATAAATCTGTCTTCCAAATCAGACAATTCCAGGTAAAGGCTTGCATTGGCTTTCAATGGGCCTTAACACCTTTTAGAAAGCAATGAAACTGCTGCATTGGCCTTTCATCATAGATCAACAGTTTGGTTTCCGTTCCAAAAAGTCCACTAAACTTAACCTGTTGTCGTATGTTGATTACTTATCGAATGCCTTGGATTCTAATGATCAAGTTCATGCTATATGCACTGATTTTTCAAATGCATTCGACAGGGTTAAGCACAGTTGCTTGATTGGAAAGCTTAGTAACACTGGCATTGGTGGTAATCTTCTGAAATGGATCGAATGGTTTATAACAAACCGTATTCAAATTGTTTGTGTTTCTGGCTTCTTATCCTCTGGCTTTACCGCTACATCTGGTTTCCCTTAAGGGTCACATTTGGGACCTCTACTTTTTAATATACATATATGACAATGACATCCAAAATTGTTTTAAGAATTCTCAGTTCCTTTGCTTTGCTGATGATTTAAAATTATTCATGCATGTAAATTCCTTACATGATTGTATTTGCCTTCAAAAAGACTTGGATAACTTGGTCCAATGGTGTAGTACTAATGGAATGGAATTAAATACAAGTAAATGTCATGCAATCAATTTCAACAGAAAACATAGTCCTATTGAATATATCTATAAAATCAATGACATAACACTGGATACTATTACAGAGGTAAAAGATTTGGGTGTGATATTAGATTCCACCCTTTCTTTTTAAACTCATATAACGGCCTCAGTTAATAAAGCATTAAGAAGGTTGGGTTTCCTTAGGAGAACTACTTCTGATTTTCATAATGTGATGTGTTTAAAGATTCTTTATTGTGCCTTAGTTAGACCTTATATTGAATATGCTTCTTCTGTATGGAATCATTTTTATGTATATCTAATCCACAATATAGAACAGGTTCAAAGAAAATTTGTACGCATTGTTGCATTTAAATCGGGTATCATCCCGGTCAACTTCAGATACAATTATGACGAATTACACACACTGTCATCTTGAGACCCTTCTGAGCAGAAGAAACCAACGGGATCTTAAAATATTGTTTAACATTATTAACTCATCTGCCGATTGTCCCTACTTGTTATCCCAAATTGGATTTTATGTACCCTCTAGAGTAACTAGGAATATTAATATACATTCTCCCAACAAATTATGGCTCACTCTTTTATTCCTAGAGTGACAAGATCTGCTAACAGACTAAATGTAGAATGGATTACTTCTCCATCAGATTTTTCTAACCATTTATGTATATGTAAGGAGTAGATGTTAGATTTTTAATTGTTTTTTAATATTTATGTATTTAAATTAATTTATTATTTTTTTGTTTTTTTATTTGGTGTCATCGGCATCGACTACTAAAATCATTAGTCTCGTGTTCTGTGTAGGCTTTGTTACTGTTTCCCAGCGCCACTTTAGGAACAGCACTGTTAATTAGAACCCAACAGTGAATGGTCGAGTGGGGAATCCTACCAAGGCATCAGAATTAATTTTAAATAATTAAATTAAATAAAGAAATCCCGGCCAACGGTGGGATTCGAACCTGGGACCGTTGGATCCACAGGCAGCAGAGACTCTACCACTGAGACACCCACCCCTCAATTTATTATTATTTAGGATTTTATTACTATTTAATGTATGTGATATGTATTATCTGTAATTGTATTGTTTTAATGGACTCTGACCCGTAAATAAATAAATAAAATAAGTAAAAATGCAGGTAATTATTTTTTTTACTCTTCAAAAGCTGAAAATTGTTTTTTAAAAACATTTTTGCTAAACCAATTCAAATTAATACACTTGCCAGGCAATATGGCCACTCGCAAACGACCCGCTTTGAGCAATCTATATAACTATATATGTATCAATGACAACAGACCCACAGGGTTGCCATATCTAAACTATCAGTTCCCACTGGCAGCATTTTGACATGTCGTACATGAACAACAAACTGTCACAGTCAAATTTATATGTCTATAGGTAGTAACTTGTGTTCACAGTAGAGGGCGTAACGGTTCTTTTCGTCCCAATACTAATGTTTTACTAATATTGCTCTTATTAGGGAACTTAATTTTTTTAGAGAAATTTAAACTTACCATTGACTAGAATAGTAAGTAGGCAATCGAAAAGAGGTTGTAGTCTTTGATGCCCGGTGGTTATGATTTTGTGAAAGACTATTATTATCAGATCTGCGTGTGTTCCTGTGAAAACTGGAATGTCCATGGGAATCGTAGCAGTGTACGGCTTGTTAAGACGTACTCCAAAATTTCTTTCACCAGAAAGCAACAGTAAAATGAATACACCGATGTGCATTAAACCAACTCGAGCTAAAAATTATGTGATTAAAACAATGCTATTATTCACATTTGGAAATAACTTACATTGATCAGCTCTTGAATCATTTAAATGATATAAGATAGGAACAAGTATCTCCAAGACGTCACTAGATTTTAAAACATAATACAAAAATTTCTAAAAAAAAAAAAAAAAAACAAAATAGTTAAACTAAGCGACTGTAAGTTACAATACAAAAGAATATTTTTATAAGAAACATTCAAAAATTGTAATTCACCTTGTTGTAGTCACACAGTTTCCAAAAGAATACCAGAAGCTCCTGATGAAAGTGAACTTTCTTTGTTGAATTTGGTAAGTAGGTTTGTACCAATGGATTATTAAGTAAACGAGTTATACCAATTAAAATAAAATGGAAATCTTCATCTCTATGAATTCGAGATAGGTAATTTATAAACAGATTATCTGGAACTGACACCTAAAATAAAATGAGAATAAGAATTTTTTTATGGTAACTATTATTACTACTTACGTCATCATTTTCTGCATTTGAAGTACTTGTATCATGATCTAATGTAACGATAAGAATCTGAAGGGCTGCTTCAACCAAAGGCTCAAGGGAATCATTAAACAATAAATGATTGTAGGGTACTCCCAAACCAACGGGATCGTAAGCGCAAACAGTGTTTAGTAAGGAAGTGAACATAGGTAGGGCATGTCTGTTTTCGGATGATGTTAAATAACTGCGAAAAAAAAAAATATATTTTTAACAATATTTTAGACAATTGAGTAAAAAAAATCTAAAAATTATTCTTCTGTTTAATTTCTCTCATTCTTTTTTAAATACATTTTTTACTATCAAATAAAAAATATATATTTTTTTTATGAATTTAAACTTACAGTATCCATTTGTTAGGATTTTCGTTAATGTCAGCTGGTGGATGGTACATTGTCTCACTGAAGCATGTCAAAAGAAGTTTTAATAATTCTGTTCTATTCGAGTCAAAAGTTGGATTGTGTGGTGGTGAATGCGCAAAGCCAACTCCAGCCTCCCAGATGTATTCACAACTGTCAATAGCAGATAATTCTTCTGCTTTATCCTATATTAATAAACAAAACATATTATAATAAAAACAACGATGGCAAAGGCGCCTATCGTCCGCAATTTTTGTATGTTCTGTTAATATTGTGACTTACAAAAGTATTTAAAAGAATCAAATAGGTAATTGTACCAAAATTGTTTTTATTCGAATGTGACTTAAAACGTCGTTTTTCGGACAGAAAATATATCGAAAAAGGGAACTTTTAAATATGCTACAAATGTACTACTAAAAAGTACTTCTAGGGCCCAGGCCGCAAAAGTAATGCAGCTCCGCTATCTAAACATTCTGTTTTATTCTTGATTTACCTTGTAATACTGCTAACGATATGTTTTTTTGCTATTGCAAAACAGTAGTCCATAATCCATATGTATATCAAATTTGAACAGAAACATTTTCAATTGAATAAGAGAAAAACTAAATAAAGTACAATTAAATCGATTTGACATAAGCACACTACAGTAAACGCCAAATCTAAAGAACCAGCGCAAATGCTCAAGTTTGTTTACTTAAAAATCGCCACGCCCATTCACAATTTGAACCTTGTCCTTGCTTACGGTCAGTAGCGTAACGACTAGATCATTGTTTGTTTCTTGTTTCTGTGTTTTGGTTAAAGTGACTGGTTTTATTTTTGATAATGTCTTTTATTGTGGGTGAAAAAAAGCGCAGATCTGTTATTAACGGACAAAGTCGTGAAGTAATATACAATGTTTTTAAATATTTTGACGCAACAAAAAAGGAAGGAGTTACTTTAGATGATATCAAACTTCAAATTGCACAAGCAACAGGTAAACATACTCTGTAGTTTATTTGCAATTAAACTAGCGTAGTTTTCCATATTTTTTTTGTATTTTACACACATATCTATGCATTTTATTTTTGATTAATATTTTATATTTAAATTTTTAAAATTTATCTTCTCTTTCTAAAAATTTTTGTTTCCTAATAAATGTAAAAAAAATACTAAATTTAACATTAATATAATATTACGTTTTTACAGGTGTTTCTTATACTACCGTTAAAATAATTTTGAAGGAAGGTAAACAGTCAATGGAAACAACTGGAAAAATTACATTTTCCACACCTAGGAAAAACTTCGTCAAAAAATCAACCGCTACGAATCTCCCTGAATATCAATTGAGGGACATTCGAAGAATAATTTACGATTTTCATATAACAGAAAAGTCTCGTGTTACTGTTAAAAGGTTAAATAATAAAATTAAGGAAGATTTAGATATCCACATATCAGAAACTTCATTAAGAAGAGTCCTTAAAAAATTACAATTTAAGTGGAGAAAAACACAAAATAATCGTAAAGTTTTGGTGGAAAAAATGAAAATAAGAACTTTAAGAGTAAAATATTTGAGAAAGATTAAATATTTTAGAAGTCAAAATAGACCAATCGTTTATTTAGATTAAACATATATACACAGCGGACATACTTCTTCCAAGAATTGGACAGACGATTCAACAAAAGGTTTGTTTTGTTATTTCTAAAGGCCAAAGGCTTATTATAGTTCACGGTGGGGGAGAAATGGGTTTTATCAAAAATAGTTTGTTGATATTCAAATCAGGGACCAAGTCTGGAGATTATCATTCCGAAATGAATTCGGAAAATTACGGCAAATGGTTAAGAGAGAAGTTAATATCTAATCTTCCACCTAATTCAGTAATTGTTTGTGATAATGCTAGTTATCACAATGTACAGACAAATCGAGCACCTAATTCCAATTCTTTGAAGAATGATATGATCGAATGTTTGACAAAATACAACATACTTTTTAATCCAACAAGTTTGAAACCAAAGTTATATGAACTGATTAAATCTGATAAGGACCGACATGTAACATATGCATTTGATGAGTTGTGTCGAGAATACGGCCACACCGCTTTACGGTTACCCCCATATCACCCCGACTTGAACCCTATCGAATTGACTTGGGCAACTGTTAAGAATAATGTCAGTCAAAAGAATGTTACCTTTAAATTAGAAGACGTAAAACAATTAGCAGAAGAAGAATTTAACAAAATCGGTATGGAGGAATGGAAAAAGAGATGCGATCATGTTATAAAGGTAGAAGATAAATATTTTGAAAGAGAAATACAAACTGATTTATGTTCGGAAATTAATCCTATAGTCATTAATCCTAATGAGGATTCCAGTGACGACAGTGACGAGTCTTCTTCCAACGAAGAATCTGACGAAGACATATGAACATTATTTATTTGTGATTTCCTGTTTACGTTGTTTGTATTTATAGGCTATATAATATAAAATTAAACATGTTAAAAAATCGGAAGGATATATTACTTCACACATATTATTTCATATTTTGTTTATAAAAAATTAATGTCAGTTAAAATACAAAATACTAGACCACCAGAGCTCTCCTTAAGGCTGTTTTCGCGATACACTATTTTAGCTCTTACCTCATATCTTGCTTATTTATGATCGGAACCATTTTTACTATTTCTACTAATTAGTTAAAGTAGGTACTTAAGAGAAATATATTAATAAAATTCCAATAAGATATCATTACCGGGATTATCTCACAGAAAACTAAGAACAGGTAAAGAGATTTAATTAAGCTCAGTTATTAATATCTAATTGATCACTTAAGAGGATATTTGAATTTTTAAATCTATTTATTTCAAGTGTTTCTAAATGGCATGGTTTAATTTAATGCCTTTATTCTCAAAATGTGAAACAATTTTTGCATAAACGATTGATTTTCAGATAAAAATATGTTCTGTAGAATTATTTTTGTTTTTAGTATAACTATTGTAATGTTTTAAATAGCTTTTTTTTAAGGATAATTTCCTGAGCGTAACAGAATTTTATATAAGTACCAAACGGAAAGCGGTAGAACAGCCTTAACCTAAAGTCGTCTTACTTAAAAATAAAGATTTTTTAATTGACTATAGAATTATGTACTAATAATAACACTAAGCAATATGTATGAACAAGTATCATTCACTATTTTCCATTTATTTTATGTCTTAAAATATACGCGCCCCTGGTTTACAACTTTCTAGGAAAGCTACCAATTCTATTCATCGATAGGCGTGTTCGAAGCATCATTGGTTCTTTAGATTTGGCGTTTACTCTAACATCATAGCAATTGTTCAATCGTTATCAAGAATGTATCTACCTAGTCATTCTTATCGATCACAGCCATCTTATTTATAAGAAAAATTGGAAATAATATCATTTTGGATTTAATTTTCTATATTCTTTTTTTAATATCTATAAGCACATTCGACTTGTCGTCCGTGTTTCATACACTATTTTTTATTCAAATGTGCTTATAGTTATTAAAAAAAATATACAAAATTAAATCCAAAATGATATTATTATTTCCAATTTTTCTTATAATTGAGATGGCTGTGATCGATATGAATAGCTAGGTATATTCATGATAATTGAACAATTGCTGTCAAGTCAATGTGCTTATGTGTCAAAGCGATTTAATAATTATGGTTTGTTAAATTTGTTCTAATTCAATTAAAAATGCTTCAATTCAAATTTGATGTAGATGTGGATTATGGACTATTATTTTACAATAGCAAAAAAATATTATCGACAGCAGTATTAAAAGATAAACTGAAAATAAAAATGAATGTTTGAAGTATACTTAAAAGTTATCCTTTTCGAGCATGTTTTTTTGTCCGAAAAACAATGTTTTATGACACATTTGTTTAAAAACTACTATTTTAGGTGACTGTTACAAAATAGTTATTTGTGTACCAAGGCCGTAAAGTAGATCTTTTTTGGCCGAATCTAAAATGTGCGGCCGAGGCCAACCAACTTCCCGTTAGGCCAAAAAAGATCATTACGGCCGAGTTGCACAAAACATTTTTTAGACAAGTAGTCAATATTTTTTACATTCTTGTTTTTGAAAAGAGGGTTAAATGCAAGAATTGTTTCAAAATGTTATTGATGGAATAAAAATCCATTGTTAACTAATAAAATTTGTATAGAATTACTAAAGATAAGTATTTATAAAAAGGCGACCGTAAAGTAAATGCGGGCGAAAAAGTGACACTTTAGGGATGTTCATAGATCTGTAAAATGTTATTTTTTATGACAGTCTCCTAAAAAATTCAATTTTACGGCTTTATTAACATCCTAAAGATGAACTTTTTTAGCCGCATTTACTTTACGATCGCTTTTTATAAACACAAGTTTATCATACTTATCGTTAGTAATTCTGTATTTTGTTATATAACGATAGATTTTTATTCAATCAATAAAAATTTGAAACTATTCTTGCATTTAACCCTCTTTTTAGGAATAAGAATGTAAAAAAAAATGTTGGATCTATTTAGTCACCTAAAAAAATGTTGTGTGCACCTTAACTGCATGATCTTTTTTGGTCTAACTAGAAGTTGCTTGGCCTCGGCCGCAAATTTCTATGTCGGCCAAAAAATATCAACTTTACGGCCTTAGTACACAAATAACTATTTTATTAATAGAGAACATAAGAGGAAAACGGAAAAGAAATATATAAATAATAAAAAAACATCTAAAATATAAAGATATATGGAATTACTGTATTCAACAAAATGTTTCTACAACTATTTTATATAATTTCTATGAATTTTGGCTTTCGTCAACAACTATTTGTTTTAAACTAGTGATTTTTTAAAGATGACAGTGTCACTTCTCTGGAAACTAATAAACCGACTTTATCATCTCGCCATTTTGAAAAATATCGAATTACTACCGTATTCAACGAAATGTTTCCTGAACTGTTTTATAATAATATGATTTCTGTAATTTTTAACTTTTGTCAACAATTTGTTTTAAACTAATGGATTTTTAAAGATGACATTGTCACATCTCTGGGAACAAATAATTCGACTTCATCAGTACGCCGATTTGAAACCAGTGAATATATGGAATTTTTGTATTCAACAAAATATTTTTACTACTGTTTTGTATGATTTCTATGAATTTTAGCTTTCGTCAACAATTCGTTTTGAACTAGTGAATTTTT